GTGCGGCGCATCCGGTGGACGAAGTCCCCCACGCCCCGGAGAGCATCTGGGAGACTCTCAAACGCGAGGAGAGAGCGGGTGAGGCCGGCATAGGTCGCAGCTCGGTGTCTTCCAGCCATACAGTGAAAGAGGACGTGTTCACCAGACCATAAGGAATTCTTGGTCAGGTCGAAGGCGTGCTGGAAGGCTTCCTCGCGGTCTTTGCTCTTGAAGTCCAGCTTTATCCCCAGAGCGCCAGGCAATAGGACGCCGCCTCGTTGCTCCGGCGACTTATCGAAGCAGGTCACCTGCAACGACACCTTGGGGAAGTACTGGGCTGTCGCCGCCGTCGGGAGGCCTGACAGGAAGAGCCGCCCACCAGAGCCGGACTGCCAAATAACGGTCGGGGCCTCTGCTATGCGCCTGTGCGCCCCCCAGCCGTAGCGAGGCGATCGAAGTAGTTATGCCAGCTCTCCCCAGCATTGTCCTCGCCGCCTCCTCCGGTACCACCAGAGGCCGCCGGGCTCGCCGCCCGGAGAACCACAGGGTCACGCCCCGAAACCGCGCTGTCACTGGCAACCTTGGGCCGAGAGCCTTCACCTTGGGAGCCGCCTTGAGTGCCACCTTGGGTGCTGCTTTCGATGCCGCCTTGGGTGTGGCCTTCGCCGTGGTACTCGAGGAAGAAGCTGCCTCGCCTGGTACCTCATCGGCCAAAGGAAGCCGGGCCCTCTTTGGTGGAGGGGCGGATGGCTCTGCAGGTGCCGCCCTCCGCTGCGGCAGGACAGTCTGGCCAGTTGGGCCGGGTTCTTTGGCCGTCTGCGCGAGGAGTGCTCTCTTCTCGAAGCACACGTGAGCTGGATGATTGCCACCGCAAGCTCGTCCACTGCGGAGAGCAACCGCGCATCGGTGCGAACTCCAGTCCTGCTCTGCCAACTGGCATTTCCCCAACTGGAAGCTCGCGCAAAGCGCTTGTCCGTTTTTAAGGAAGGCTGTGAGGACTTTGCCATTCAACGTGGCTGGCATGCGCTCGACTTGCTCTTGGCTGGACCGTGCTCTCGTCTTGGCCGCTCTGTACCTCCACGTGCGCGTCAGCGCCAGGGACCTGTGCAGCGTCTCGGTCGTCACCGGGGCCTGGAAGACAGTGGTCCGGTCGCCCACAATCACCTGGTCCACCTGGGTCTGAACGGCCCCTTTAATCCTCTCCAGCTCGGTGTCCGTGACTGCGCTCCAGTCCTCGAACCCACGGACCTCCCATGCCGCGGCCAGAGACAGCGCCTTGCATCGCAGGGAGGTTGTGTAACGAGCGCTGCTGTAGTGTAGCGGCATCTGGTTGCCCTCCGGATTCCTGCTAGTCCCGAAGCCATGCCTCCGTCCAAGACCGACCCGAGGAGAAGCGGGCACAGATGGCGAAATCGAACCCCGTGATCCTCAGATGGGCCTGCTTGGCAGTGCCCATGAAACGCCGTGGTGGAAACACGACGGGGCTCCGCGACCTGCAGATGGCGGTACCTAAGGCATCCCGCCGCCACCAGCCACGAGCCCAACAAGGCCGACCACTTCTCGTCGCCGAAGGAATGGGCCAGCTCAATCTTCTCCTCCAAGAACCCCAGCATGTCCGGGCCAACACAAGGTGCCTGACCCCTTGGCTGAGAGGCCTGCCCTGGCTTCCGAGCCTTGACATCAACGTCGGACAGGTCGAGGTCCAGCTTGGCCTTCTTCACCAACCACCGTACGCAAGCCAAGGCACGGGTGGGAGCCGGGGTGCCATCGGCCAAGAAGGAATCCACGTCCACGAGCTCCGGCCCACTGGGCGTGACCTCGCCCGCTGCCAAGCTGAGAGCTCGCCCCAGGTACGCAGAACACCATCTATCGTGGCCCTGTCCGCACGGTCCACGAAGCGCGACGCCGTCCTCTCGACCGTCCTCTCCCACTCCCGGCGAAGAACATCCGAGAGGGGACCTGCAGGGCGAAAGGCGCCCAACTGCAATAAGACCGCCACCAGCTTCGACCGACGCTCGCGCAGATCACCCCCATCTGGCTGGGGGGGTGCCAGGCGGCCCTGCCGCCCACGGACTGACGAAGATGGTCTTGGCAGTGGCGGCCGATCCGACGGCGCTGGTCCCTCCACTCCGCCGAGGCCGCCGAGATCAAACAAACAGCCTTCCTGTTCAGCGCGAGCAACAGTCCAAGCGTCTGCCACGTGGTGCCCTGCCTGTCTGAC